TGATGTAGCATGCTTTCCGCTTTAGGGCCAGTGTGATAACGTCGAAAGTATTTTTAAAACGTAATCATGATATTGTACTAGCTGTTAGGCTGCTGCCACATTGCAGAATTAATGCAGTTTGACACCACTTTAACTGTGCCATCAAATGAAGTCCTGGAATTTGTAGTTTTTTGTGCATTAGAACACTGACAGGGGAGGCTAAATATTTCATAAAACTATAAATCCCCAGAATTCTATAGCATTGTCCCATGGCATTAAAGCAGTGTAAAACTGCCTTAATTCTGCAGTTTAGATGCAGTCTCAGTCTGATATGCAGGCATAGGAATAAATACTTGCAAAGTCCTTGATTCTGATAGATTGAACAGGAGTGCTTTGTCTGTGGAATGGTGACAACAAGGATGGGTAATAGTAATAATAGTAGTGGACCTGGCTTCCTCGAGCACATATATATTTTGCTAATTGCAATCTTATTTGAAAATTGATGAGGAATAAGACTGAACAGGCTGAGTCTCCCTTATCCGAAATGGCTGGGACCAAAAGTGTTTTGGATTTCAGAGTTTTTCAGAGTTTGGAATATTTGCATATTTGTTGTTGTCTGCCTCCAAGTCATTTGAAGGCAAACCAATCATAGGGTTTTCTTGGCAGGTTTCTTTGGGGGGGGGGGGTTTGAAGGATTTGCCAAGAAAATGCTAGGTTTGCCTTAAGGTCACCATAGGCCGGAAACGACTTGAAGGCACACAACAACAAAATTTTATAAACAATATATGAAATGAATTTTGTATATATAGAACCACCAGAAAGCAAAGGTGTCACCATCTCATCTACCCATGGGGGTAATTTTGGATGTTGGGATACTTCGGATTTTGAAATTCTGGTTAAGGAAGACTCAGTTTGTACCCTTCTTCATCATCACTAGAGAGAGAGGTACAAGAAATAAAGGGATGAATGACAAAATATGAAAGATGCGGCACAATGGATTAAAAAATAAAACAAATCCTAGTTATTAGTAAGAAAACTGTAACCAAAACCATTGGGATCTAGCCTAAGGGACTAGTTCTGACTTCAAAAGTGACTAAGCACTGAGTCCCATGACAGGTGGCAAAATTAGGAGCCACCTTTATCACAGTGGGAAGGAACATCTTCCTTGTTGCCTGCTTTGGTCCATCTCATACTCACACACAGTCACAGGTGCTAACCCCAAACCTTCCATTCAACCCTTTCAAACACTATCGACATCAACTCAACACCTCCCCCAAGCACATCACCCATCACAACCACATGCTCACAGCATCCCACCTCTCGCCCACTCATTCCACCATGACTCACGAATTTGAAGCTATCCACACCCTAACTCCCACTGGATGGTTTGATCCTTCGGTACCACATTTCCCCTTTCTTTCTCACTTCCCCCACTGCCCCACATGCATTTATATATATTACAGTTGTCAGTTTACAGCCAACCCAATGTGGGTTCTCCTCGTCCCCTTTTCTTTTGAATCAAATAT